TCCTTCAATGACAAGTTTTATAACGTTCAAATAATAGTTTTCGAGCATGCTAGGTATTTATAATCACTGGATATGAACTTATTTGTTAAGTATTGTAAACAAAACAGCATTTTGACTTACATACAATACAATAAATACCGGTAACTATAATAAATATACTACTTATTCCATTGTCATGCTACACGGGCAAAATTTGGCAAATTATAATAAGCCTTTTGGGCAAATATATCAAGGCACCAAATATAAGAGGCTTTCAAGAAAAATAAAATAAATTTTAAAGCACTTCTGAGGCATATTAGGTCTTTTAAAACACTTAAGCGTTTGAGACTTCTGCTCGCGTTATTCATGAAATGGAGCTCTATCTGTCTGGCAAAGTGTCTATGTGTTGTCTGTTTATCTGATTGAGTGATATTGTCGTCTGTGACGTGTCGCAAGTAAACAGAACTAATATTGCTGGAAAATGTATATTCAAGAGCAAAATAAGACACTCTGGTTAGCGCGTTCTGTGATTTACAATAAATCAAAATAAAAGAATTGTGATATACAATCAATCAAATAAAAAAAACAAATTGTTCATTTGTCAACTACTCTCATTTAGTGTTTTAAAGATAAGCATCGTAATCATACATTTTATATATCGCATCACTTGTTACATTACAAAACACAGAAAATATCGGATCATAAATTTGACATTCTCGTTTTGTAAACAGACGCAACGTGATCATGCCATAGATTATAGAGAACATGTATATACTATGGGTTGTACAAGTGAATATAGTTTAAATGAGATACATATCGACCGAAGGAAGCGCTAGGCAAGACTTATACTAGCAAGGCTATATTCTTTCATACCATATGACATCGTAAACAAAAGGTTTAAGATACTCTAAATTCGAACAATTAATTTGTATTATTAAAAGGTTTGTTTCTTAATTTTCTGTCTTGGAATTAACTTGTTGTATCATTTGTATATCAATCAAATAATCTTTCTTTAAGGATCTTTTTCTTTATTATCAAGACTCTTGTATAACGTCCAAATAAAAATGTATCTGTTTGCCATTTTATAACGAAGATCGTTGTTTTATAATATTGCTATACAAAATGTAATATGAAATAGGGAAAATAAAAATCAATAATGAAAGACTCAAAAAATGAAAATGGTGCATGTTCGGTTACATTGAGCCAGTAACTCATGGCCGGCATTGGAAAGTGCAAGCTACCTTCCACGCCACTAAGCACCAATCAGAATTCAACATTAAACATAAAACTGGCAGGCAAATTTGAATTTGCAAAATAAGATGATACTTGTTCACCCTGGTTTTATAAAAAAATATGAATTGAAACCAAAAGCACATAATTTATCTGATTGTTTACTGACACTAATTGTTTGAACTAATTAGAGATTCCGAACCTCAGTTTTGTTAATTAAAACAAAACTAAAGCATAATTTGATTTTGCATTTTAAGTATATGTATACTCTTTGAGTCTGCGTTACCTCATTCTTATCCCTTAATAACGTTTTCTGAATAAGAATAAATTTAATTGATGAATTGTGCTTACGCACGCGTTAGGTTACAAAACTTATAGTTTGTAATTAAAATAAATTAAATGTATAAATACCATATAACGTAAATCTTGATGTCATTGTCTGTTTCCTCGAAAATAATACAATTTTAATCTTATAAGTTATTCTTTGCTCTTCTCATCATCGAAATCAACCTATAGTTATGTATTTTTAATCTTTATTAGACTAAGGATTAAAGATTTCAGCCACATATGTATGCGCTAGACACAACTTCCGATCGATAAAATGTATGTTAAATAGAATTATCAAACTATGTAACAACAACATGGCCATCAAATTTGACTTTGGGTATTGTAGTCACACACCGAACGGAGATTAAACTCGATTCAAGTTAATATTTCACTGATAACTTTAGTGTTACTTCAGGTTTCTATGGCATCCTATTCAGAATAATTTATTATATATGCATTTGTCCATACAGCAATGGGGAACATTTTAGACTTGATTTTGTGTATTATTTTTGTTTTAACACAATCACACTGTTTTTAAATTTTCTAATAAAAATAGATTTTATGATTTACAACATGTCACAGAGCTTTAAGGGATTAGAATAAACGTTTAAATGAAGTGATAGTGCCATGTTTGAATATCATATTCTTTTAATCATTATCTTATTTTACCTACATAATAAATAACGTGCCAATGAGCCAGTCTATAGTCGATCATTCTAAAACTTAACCGTTGAGAGAGGTGACAACTGAGGCAGTGCCACGTACTTCATTTGATTCGCCTCTGTTGAAGTTCGGTTCCGCCTTAAATTGTCTGCTAGCATTTAGTCTTCGTTGACGGAGAAGAAGGGAACCAGGACAACTTTGATCAATATCACTTGTCGAAGTTACAAAACCTAAACTACGCCCACTATCAGGGAGGCGGTTCTCACTCAACCGTTAAGAAAGTACAACAAACCGGTTACGCTACGGCCTGTAAGGGGAGATCACTGAAGAACAGTTTGTCCTCAAAATCATTCGAACATAATGCAATTCGTACCAATATTTAAATGGGTATATTCTCGGCACATATTGTCTTGAATTTATTTTAAGTATACCAATCATTTCAATTTTATTTGTTATGCAATTTATTTTGATTCGACCAGAAGTTTCAGTCTTTGTCGCAACAGACAAACATTTAAGAATTTCAGACCTGGCATTATTTTGTGAATTTATGCATTATGTTCTACTTTTTGGCAAAAATATGCAACTTTATTATTAAACAACGAGCACATACCAAGAACATGGAGAAAAAATTGATTTGTGCTTCGGATATTCAACTGTAATAGAGAACGATTTTTAATGCTGATTGACTGTTCACATCATTTGGCGGCGTCCTTGATGTGCAGCATCAACATTTAACTTGACAGTTATGACATCTCGTCTGTGACTTGCTTGTGTGCCCTGTTATGTTTGGTGTCCTGGGATCCTAACAGGTGGTCATGTGTTAGTGGACGAAGTTATTGAGTGCCGTCATTCCTTGATGATCTTATTTTTCATTTTCTATAAATATTCTTATATAGAGTACTGGTAATTTAAAGATTTATCAGATGGTGTAATATGTTGGCGCGCCGTTGTAAAACTTTCATAAAAACAAGCTTGGTTTTCAAAATCGTTACAGCCAGTATGTTTTTGTAAATTTACATAGGAAAATCTCACAGATTCAGACAAAAGGCAGATAAAACGAGTATTTCAGGTCATACTGAATTACACATTTGCGGTCCTATTAGTAACATGTCTTAGAATACGATGCAAAACACAATTTATCATCAAATCATATTGTTAAACTACTAATTATATCAAAACACTGAATGACTAGAAAGCGAGACCTAATTAAGGATATCACAATTGTACAGTTGTTCATAAAAAGAGACATAACTGGGAGAATTCTATAATTATCTATAGGCACCTATGGAAAAAATATTTTGAATTTCAGAAATCTTTGGAACATGGGTGACAGGAAATAAAGTATCCCATTGTTTCTCATTAAAGAAGTTGAAGTTGAAATCGTGAATTATTGAAGTTGAAATCGTGACTTATGTATTTTGAAAACGTCGATTTCATTAAGTTCGCGAAGATGATATCGTGAATTCATAAAGTTGAAATGTCTCCAACGGTCTTTCGTAATATTGTTATGCCAACTTATTAGTTATTAGCAATTTTAGAGAACATCAAATCACAATTGAGACGCCATTCTTTGACCATTGAAATAGAAAGTCGATTATATAAGAACGCATATGCTATTTTAGGAACATTTCAAAATAAAAACAAGACAGCAATTACTTGCTTCTTATATATTGTGAACGTTGTAATCCACTATATTTATTGTTGTTCAATCTATCAAAGCTAAATAGATGTCCAAAATGCAATTTTCAGTTTTAATGAAATGTCTCCAAAATTCTCAAAATCTACCAAGCACGGTAAGGTTAATTGACTCTCGTGTGCAACATTACTTGCTATCTTAAATCAAATTGACTATTGATTAAGTGTCTTGGACGGTTTTAAAGCAGAAAACTGGTAGAATTCTAAAGTGTACGATGGTAGCTTAAGATATTTATTATGTGTTGACGAATGAATGTTTGCCAAAAAGGTTAAACAATTACATTTATGAATTTCAGATTGACAAAATGTGTATATGATTGATATAAATGTATATTAAAAAAAGGAACCACAAATCTCCAGATATGTGTAAATTAAATATCATTTTTATTTGAGGGACAGGCAGATTAGAGGTATCGATGTGTTTCCTTACTGTTTGTGTATTTTATCGACGGCAAATTTCATTTTCCACCTATAGTAATATCTTTTGATATGGCAATTATATGAAATTATTTATTTAAAAATAACATATTTAACCTTTAAAAAAGATAAAGGCCGCTTAAATGAGTTGAATTAGGTATATTTCAATAATATATACAAATGTCAAGTAAGTTGTTAAGAAATTGACACAATATTAGCACCGAATAATGAAGATTATTAAATTCGGCTCTGATCGAGTACTATCATTTGACCGTCAATTGAGTTTTATTTCAGACTGAAAGACATTTTCATGAACAATGTTGAAATTTATACTTGTATTTTGTAAAAGAATAATTACAAATAACCTGTTTGAATGAAATATTCTTGTAAAGAAGAGGGAATGACGCATGCATACAGTTATTCAGAAATGCTTTTAACCCTACCCTACTTGAAATAACAGCATATATTTGTTACTCTATTCACATACAATATTCATGTGTTAAATAACAGAGACATTCCATGTTATAACTGTTTCGAGAATCGATCATAACATTTAGAAAACAGCGTAATTTTACCTGTTATAAATTGCATAACAAAATATTTCTTTCAATATAGATTTATACACTTTACAATGCACGCAGTCAACAATTAATATTAGCATGAAAATAAAAAAACTAGCAACATGTAAGTATTTTGATATGTTTATTTATTTCCATTTTGTATAAATCTACACATCTTACAACAGGTCTATTTCATATTTATCTTAATAAATATCTAATAGTCAATAACAGAACACTACGCACTCATGCTTTACCACGTGATAATTACTCTTAACCACGTGACCATTTTAAGACAGGACAGACGAGTGAACACAATAAAAATATAAACACAAAGAGGATAACAGAAGAGATTATTGAAATAAAATATACATCAAATTCTCATTGTTTTGAGTGAATGCATTTTTGTTCTGTATGCGGTTGATATTAAATATGTAATATAATTGTGCATATTCATCTCATCGAACCTTGTTTCGTTTATCAAGAAATGCTTAGAATCGTACAAGTTAATGGGAGTATTAACCCTTAGGCTGATGTTGTTGTAACAAAGATGAAGACCTATAGCCGAGAAGAAGCCCATGAAGCCCATGGAATCTTCGAGTTTTGAAATATAAACTAATGAAATTGGTAACGACACTTCAAGAAATATGTTCTTAAAACCAAATAATTAAGTGGTACTTAAAGTCGTTTTATGACTTTCGACAGGATGTCTGATTCTGTTATAAACGGGACTATTTCACCTGTCAAAGATTGGAATTAAGATGCACCTTTGTAATTTGAAGTGCTTACAGAAGTAATGAAACATAAAACCAAGTGACTTCAACATGAGAATTTCTTTTATTTCCGGAAATATCATGAAAAGTAAAGTTTGGGTAAATCCTATCTTTGGATCGTTATACGTGTATTATACATGCATATGCAACGTCAAAAGAATGATATAGTGTGTAAATATGACAGTTCACCTTGGGATTACACGATACCTTTATGATAACATCCCAGGATTTAATGTGGATACTTTAAAAAAAACGTATAGGTCCAGACAGAATGAATATGAAAAGTAGCAGTAGCAATATGTCTAGTCTAATTACTATGAAATCGATATCTCACTTTTAGCAACAAAACATGAAACAAATATACATGTATGCGAAAAGTCAACGCAGTTTAAAAAGTGAATAAGTAATTAATTTTGCAGGCACCGACCATGAAATTGTGCAAAATAATAATCCCTCTTTCAATAGCACGTTTCAATTGGTGTAACCAATGTTTAAACAGACAATCTGCTTGCTATTTAATTATTTTGGTTAAATCAATCACTCAATCAATCAATCAATCAATCAAATTAAATAAAAATCAAATAAAAATCAATCAATGATTGTAATGCAATAGAGAAAATATAATATGAGAATTATTGCTACAGCTTTTTCTGGAAATATGTGCATAAATATTCTTTAAATACCTGAAGTTACAAAAGCCTGATTATGTTAAAAATTAAATAATATTGTCTTTAGGCGTTTTACTGTATGCATTAATAATAGAGTTTCGAGTTTTGTTTTGTATATTTTAAATATCTAATTCTGTATCAAAATTCAAAATTACAGACACACACATAAATCTAATCTGTTTTTGGTCAAAACATTGATATTCAAATATGATAATTACATTATTCGCCAAAAAACCAGCGCGCCTCAAGATTAATGTTTAAGTTACAAATTCGTAAACATGTTGTCAATTTAGTGTACAAATAAAGCAACATTATCAAGCACAACGTACTTTCTGTCTACATAAAATACAGATAACTTGCCTAAATACGCAAAAATATAGTACGTAACATGTATTTAAACAAAGTATGTTTTTGTGTCCTTTATGCTTTCATTGAAATAAGTTTTTAGCTCTCAAACCATCGATATTATTTCGTTTAAATAATTTAAGTTTGATCATTGTCTAGAGGCGTGTAGCCTTACAAGATTTGTTATTATGTTGAAATTGAAATATATATATAAAAAAAACATAATACAACAAAATGCAGTTTGATATCTAAAATGTGTTCAAAATAATAGTGAAAACATGATTAAAAGTTCTAATTTGCGGATCATCTGACATTTTAAAAACAATAAACGTGTATCAATCACAATAATACTAGCATAATAATTATAAAATGTGATACTGTGAGACGGGAAATTGCTTTTATGATGACTTAAAATTAATACCTTATAATGTTTAGTCTAAGCGAATGAAATATCGTCACATGTTGAAAAAGATAAAAAGATAAAGCTATTTAAAATGAAACACTAACAGCCAAAAGAATAACAAAATAATGCCACATGCATTTTATATATCTTCACCCGCAATCATCTATCAAACACACAGAATATAAAGCTTCATGGTTCGATATACTTATTTTTTACAAAATATCATGCTAAATCTCATTCATCACGCTATAATTTTACGTTAGTGTTTAAAAATATGTCAAACACCTTTTTTTAGGAATAAGAAATCATAAAAAGAATATTAAAACAAATCATTGAAGAAGACAGATAAACATTATTGACACATATGCTTAATTTTCACACATTACAATTCATTATCTATTCATATTGACACTATTTCACAATCATGCATTTGATAAATATATATATTTCATAAATAATAATTTAAACATATCATTTACATTTAATCATTGACTTCAAAATTAATATTTATATGGTAAACAGTAATGATAAACAGTAATGATAAACAGTAATGATAAACAGTAATTAAGTTTACACATTTTTCGATGTTACAAAATGTACGATTTATATACAACAGTTCAATGTAAATATTATGAATACCAATGTTTTTATTATTCTTTAATGAGTTACGAACGTCATGAATTGTAAAAATTGAAATGTGAAATCAATGAAAAACGTATTGGCACTATATAAATATGATATATAAATAAATACTTTAAATTGTTGCTTTTGTTATACATTTTAAAACAAGACTTTGGCAGACACAAATGTTCGTGTTGTATCGAAACAATGTATTCAATATGTGATGGCTTAAAACTATTTTTAAATTAAATAATGCGAATTTAGGAAATTCAAAAAAATCGTTACTGTATGCTCAACCGCGTATTTAGTAATGGAAACTACCAATACATGTATTATCTTGCAGTTAAAATGAATATTAGTCTTAGAATAATAAACCGATTGCAAAAAAAAAACAAACAAAAAAACAAAAAAAACATTTTTTTCAATCAATGTTTCAATAAGTAAATTTCGACTAAATTCGTATAATTTCGTAAAACACGAAGCTGCTTTCGCCTATATCCGACAGTTTCTGTAATACATATATTTAGAACTTTTCCTGTCACATGACAAGATGTTTACCACTAAAACGTTATTTTTTGAGAAAATATCAATATTACGGCTCATTTCACGTACATGCTTATAGGAATCAAAAGTTTGATAAAACCATCAATAAAATCACGGTTTATCATACTACTTATCGAAATAAACTGGTAAAATATGCTAAAAACATCTTCCATGATTAAATAAAACTAGCACAAACGATAACTTTCAATTATATTGCTATTAATATGAAGAGGTTTTCACACTTTTCCAAAAATCTAGAATTTGGCATTATGTAATATTCATGTAAGAAGGCATGATTGGTCTTCTAGTGTTTGACCCTATGACCTCAGCATATATGTACATTTTACATGGTTTAACATGATAATCACAGATTAATTAATGAAAAGCATAAACAACTACCCGATGTACGGTAAAATATACAACTCGAAATACTGGACATTTCACACTTAACTGCTGTATTTAATGTTTTAAGTCAAAAAATATTTACATCAATGTTAACGTACGTATAATCTTTAAAAATATCGTTTTCAAATGTGATTTTAATAAGCAAGTACCTTACCAGTATACTGACTTATAAAGCCAATAAACCGTTATTAGGTAGAATCATTCCAAACGTATCTTATGTTAGATTAACTAGTAAAATGGTCACACAATAGTATTGTAACAACACCAGCTATGAACGTACATCAACTTAACAAACAAGCCCCCTTTTATCACAGTGGACACATTCACATGCCCCACTACTTCCTTTTACAATTTTATTTGCTTTTGTAATCAGTCTCTTTTTATTTCGTAATAGTGCAATCATCACGTCTTCATTTGTGTTCAGCTGAATATTTGTCGACTTCTTCATATTCATCAGAACCTTTCTGCATTCATGTAACGCTATCACCGGGCACATCATCTGTTTTACCACAACTTGCACGTAACAGGTACACCACATAATTGAATAAAAACTCCTATAAAAACTTTTATCAAACTATCGACACCTTTTGAATTTTTGGAGCAGTCACAGGACGGGGCAAAGTTGACGTGGATGGTTTCTCCTGAGAGGGTAAAGTATTGTGGTTTTGCCTCACAGAGTTATGGTCGCCTGGACCATTTTCATGTTCATTCAACACTTTTTTAACTTCTGCGTTGTGACCCACGTGGTCACGATTATTTTCTGTCCTTTCAGAAGTTTGTACGGAAGATCTATTTGATTCTGATTTGTCAATTGTGAGCAATCTGTCAGTAGTATTACTACCGGAAGTAGCCGCAACATAACGCACTTCCACATTATCTGTTTCCGGAGAATGTCGATCACGTGGTCGGAATTTTTTACGGTGATAGACTCCACAAACAAGTAATACTACACAAAAGAACACAGATATTGAGGTACCAATTACAATATGTACTACTTGTACTTTCTCTTTCTTCGGGCCTGAAAGTAGAGAACAACATTGGATAAAAACCTTTCCGACAGCTAGAAGATGTTTGAATGTTTTATAGACAAAATCCTTGATATTTCACGTTTCATTTAGAAAAGAAACCGCCACAAACTCAGTATTCTTTGTGGGTTTTATGTTTTCATCGATGCAAATAATAATTTGAAAAGTACATATCTTATTTATTATAATTATTTCTAAATCCAATTCTTTATTCATTGGTAATTAATGTTTATCAATTTTACTATCTTTAATGTCAGCTTTAAGGTTTTCGAATCATATTAGTACAGCAATAAGTTACATGCATGCTCATTCATGTAATCATGCCTTTAAATGATCTGACATTCAAATAATTTGTTAGTTTTTGTCTGTAACAAAAGCATGTTAAGAGCACTATAACAACAACAAATGGGAAATTAGAGAAGTAGATATTAAGGATGTTTGGAAGAAGAAACAAATTTAGTATTAAAAGCGGCAAATCAAAGAAAACATTTTAATTATATTGAAAAAGTATTACACTTTAAATCGAAATTAACATATCATTCTTTGTGTGACGAAGTTGTAAAACTGTAATTATGAAATTAACTTTAGAATACACAAAACAATGTTTGAAAGCACTAAGCAAGATTTCAGAAAATAGGACTAAAGAACGAAAAGTTTGAAATTGGAAACTACACAGAACAGGGAACAAACGATTATTCGCAAAGAGCGCAGATATATACCTTATTTGCAACTGAGATCATCATGAATTCGAATTTGTTATTTTTATTTTATATAATAATGCTGGATAATGATGGCTTTGTTGAAATATGTGCAGTTCAAAATAAGTTGAATGTATTTCATGTATTTAAAAGTTAAAAAATATTACAGTGTACAGTTAAACCTTAGAACAATAAGTTAATGATAACAAAAAGATCGAACACTTTTTTTAATAAAAAATCAAAGTTGCTTGCAAAATAAGTTAACGCATGCGCAACATATCAGAGATTTAACGCAAAGACTACGTAACTCTTACCCTGCTTGGACCAGACTTGGTAAGACTTTTCATCCAGTATAGAACCAGACCAGCCCTCACATTTGTGCAGTCTGACCAGACTCTTTACTGTGAACTGACTAGATTAAAAGTTTTACCTTGATGTCCCCATGTTTGTAGAAGGTACTGTTCAATTAATGAAATGTGAAAAACTAGATCGACAAGAAAGGGTGGCAATCATTGAACGCATCTCCCAGCATAACCCAGCAACACAGACAACCGGCTGGAGACCAAACCGGAAAAGGTCATGTAACTAAATTCAGCAGGTTAAGAGTTTAGGTAGTTTTTATGTGTATGCATAAGTGAAAGAGATACCAAAAAGAAAAACGTAAAATAATTCTGTAATATTCTACTCTATGTTCTTTGTTAGTCAAATTATTAATTAGATATACACATATACAACTAAAAGAACTGTGAGTAATGCTTTTAGAGAATTTGTGAGCAGCTATAGAAAAGATCGACAACTCTTATTACATACCACGACTGCTCGCCTGAGGTTCACCTAGGGAGTGTATATTAAGGTAGAATTAAAATTCTGATTATAACACCTGTAAGTTTATATCATGGAAAAAATATGTACACTGATCAAATAACTGGTGATGAAAGGAATTCACAAGATCGCAGTAATTTACAATAAAAGTTTTTTTTCTTTTCTTTTAAAACATTTTCTTTTAACCTTGATTAATATGACCATATGGTGGTAGATACGATGATATTCAGTGGAGCCTTCCTTCTTAAATAAAACAGGGTGCAGAATGTTAGTCTTTTTTAAACATTTTTTTAAAAGTATTTCTTATTTGCCTTAGAAAATACTCTCATTTTTAATACTCTGTTTTTGGAAATATACGCGAGTTTAATATCAAATTTATTTAATTTATTCTAAAAAAAACAAACAATGTTCATTTTTCGTATTAAAATATGTATTTAATATCATACAGCTTTGTGAATGCTTAATTTAAGATACGGTCTATTATGGTAACAATTGCATACTATATTTCATTTGTTTGATTATTTCGGCGGCGGAAGAAATAAGTTCATATAAAATTGTAACCAATCAGTACTTTTAAAAAAGAGAAGATAAAATTATGCAGTAACTTAAGAAAAAAATCTGTAAACAAATGTTTCATATACTTTTCTTTCATAAAGACTTGGTATCTCTAATAGCCTAATAGCTTATAACATGAGCCGCGCCATGACAAAACCAACATAATGGGTTTGCGACCAGCATGGATCCAGACCAGCCTGCGCATCCGCGCAGTCTGATCAGGATCCATGCTGTTCGCTTACCAACCCTATTACAAGTAGAGAAACTGATAGCGAACAGCATGGATCCTGATCAGACTGTGCTGATGCTGGTCTGGATCCATGCTGGTCGCAAACCCATTATGTTGGTTTTGTCATGACGCGGCTCATATTAAGTAAATGTATCGTAATGTCTTTAAACAATCAATACATGAGCATTTGTATAACTTTAAATATTTGAGTTGGTCACGACAAAACCAACATAATGAGTTTGCGACTAGCATGGATCCAGACCAGCCTGCGCATCCGCGCAGTCTGATCAGGATCCATGCTGTTCGCTATCAGTTTCTCTACTTGTAATAGAGTTGGTAAGCGAACAGCATGGATCCTGATCAGACTGCGCGGATGCGGAGGCTGGTCTGGATCCATGCTGGTCGCAAACGCACTATGTTGATTTTGTCATGACACGGCTCATTTGTATCACTTTAAATATTTCTTTTTCAAACATTCAGCGTCGTACAATTGTAAAACTGTAACAAAATATCAATTGTCAATTGGATAAAAAATCTGCAAAGAAAACCTGTTCAGATTCACAACATGACGTCAGTGGGATATTTGCTCTTTACTTTTAAGAATACCAATACATTTGTTTGAACTTTAAATTTCTGAAAAGACATATTTGTCATTTCTAAATTAATGACGTTATCATATTTTGAAACAAGTTATTATTACGTAACGGAACTAAACAATGCGATTCATTCACATTTAAGGCATAATAATATAGCGGTTACATGTAATTAAATGCGTGTCAGTCAATACTGTTATACAAATGTATTAACAATTAAACTGGTTATAAAATCATGCGTCCCGAAACCCTTACCTACAAATATATAAGCTCCGACACTATTGTTACTAAAAATAGTAACAACAGCGTGGAAGAGACCTTGAAGCTTGCCCCACCTAACAAACAAAGAGTTAACAAAGAATGTCACACATGTTATATAAGTTGATATGTCAAACAGTGAAAAAGCGTTTTGCAACAAACAATTGAAGTTTGCTTGTCTACGAAATAATGATTTTAAAATTTTGTAAAAATGTCATTTGGTAACAGAATACGCTCATGAATACATACAAAAATAATTTGTTTTTCAAGATTTAGCGGAAATAAAAATTAACGAACAACTCGTTTTATTTGTCCAGACATAGCCATTGTCAATGTTAAAGAATTATGTAAACGAAAAACTACAGAAACGGTAATAAATGAATATTTATTACTTTAAAAATCGTAATTGTAACGATTTTATTTTAAAACGTTCGTTTATCTTCACAAGTTGTCTGGTAAATCATTTGTGTTATTTACAAATTTTCATTTTTGTTACTCACATTTTTTCTATAAAACAATCAATGACAACTATCATGCTAACAAGAATGCATGGCAATAAAATTGTTTTTCTGGTGTCTTAATATAATGTTCTTAATTAATAAATAATCCTAAATGTTTTCCCTCCTTACTCATACTCGAAACATAACAAAACACGTATTGTCGATATAAATGCAATTTAATGTTTTTATATCAAAATGTTTCTTTTGAAATTTCACGCGTGCAATGGAAAACTGTTCAATTTGTAATCTCTACACGGTTGCTACAAAGATTTAAATCTTTTTTAACTATAGAACAGTTGCGTTTCATTTAATAAACCTATTAACAGATATTTTGGCGGTGTATAAACAGTAAGTTGCTAATCAACTACATGTATTTACATCTGTTTTGGCCATTGAACACATCATTGTACAATTATTATAACTAATAAAGTAGGCTATATTTGATAAATGATTAAAAAGATGTATTCGAAACTGTTTGTTAAATTGATAAATATATATAAATATATTTTAACATTGATATAAAACATGCATTTACAGCCATACTCTTTTAGGTCGTAGATTTCTTTTACTGTCAAATAAAACAAATCTACATATCGTGCATACCAGCGGTGCGTAGAACATTTAAGTGTTAAAATATAAAACCAAAAACATTTAGCAGACACATTGCTAAAATGCCCTTTCTTCCGTCTTTTTTTTTTGTAAACTAAAACAAGACTGACGACAAACTAAACACGTTTACGGACAGAGCATGAGTGCATATGATTCGGCTGTGTTAAAATACAATGGTCATTTTCACTTCTAACATTTATATCAAAATATTATAGGTAACAAAACAAATTTGTTTCTCGTTCATTGGTTTTCATACATCACTAACAAATTCAGCGAGATGATATTGTGACTGACAAAAAAGCAATGGTGAATTATCTATGCTTAACTTAAATAATTATTATGTGCATTTGATAAAAATAAATTATTTAATATCTATCTATCTTTAATATCTATATTTAAAGATGTTTTGTTGTTTTCTTTTTTCAATTTTTGAGGTACAAAAATATCATTCCTGTTTTGTATTTTCGCAACTTCAGTCTTCAACTTATGAGACGGAAAGTCAAACGAAAAAAGAAAATGAATCACCTGAATTAAATAAAATTAAAGAAACAATGGCAGAAATAAACCTTGACCCAAAACAGCCATACCATTGAAAAATAATTGCATATATATTTTATAATAAGTAAGCAAGAAACAAACTGATTTGCGGCCTATGTTTTTTTTTGATTGGTAAAATAAATTGATAAACATTTACATATTTCGTCCGATTTATCGCCTGGACCACAGTTAGGCAACTGGTTACACTTCAAGTCCGGAGAAATACAGTATCCTGTCTTCTGACACTTAAAACCATAGCATGGGCCAGCTGAAATAATTAATAAAAATATAATTCTGATACAAATACAAAAATTGCCTTATTAAAGTCTTCTGTAATTTTGAAGCTTTGCTTTCGAAATTTCTACCCACGTTTTATACTATATTCAAAAAGCAGGGACGAAGTAGTATCAGGCAACCGAAAATATAGGTCTGAATTTCATTTGGGTATGTTATAAAATTTGGTCTGCCGGGATCATTGATTGCAATATTTTTATTATGTTTGCCCAAGTCATAATATTGCATAGGCTGCAACTATTAGCTTCGTATCATAGCTTTGTTTAACGAAATATATGCAACATATGCAATATCTGCCTTGCAAGTATATAATTCTATACTTTATTATAATGTCAGTTATGTTTTTATAATAAGAACTGAATTTTTATATGTCCTTCAACATTAAATTCTGACATTTCTCTGCAGAGGTGAACTTACTTTAGTTTTTTTAATGTCAACTAATATTATATTTTTGGTTTTTTTTTTTGCTGTGTCGGGAAAATAAATTCCAACACTTTTAGTATTAAGGCTAAAATACCAACTCCCGGTGCTAGGGTGTGTGGGTTATGTTGCACTTGGCATTATTTCCCATGAATGCACTCAATAAAACATAGAGAACAATTTTCACTCACTGGTTTCTGTTGTTTTCTTCTTATTGCTCTTGAGGGCTGTATTATATGCATAAGTTTAATGGTATCAAATTATTGCTATACCATCATAAAAAGCAGTAACTGTTAACTGTTAGATTTTACAATTATTTATTTCTGAAAATCAATATTTTATTGCTTTCAATAATAAATGGTCAAAAAAGTGAATTATAGACGTAAAGAAGGCAAAGACTATAACCTGATACGTGTAACTCTGTCCACGTCAATCGGAACCCTTTGAAACCCAGAGCAGCATTTGATGTTAGAAACCTGTAAACAATACAATGTTTTGTATTTTAAAAAATATTCCAAAGTTTTAATTTCAATGTTGATACATACAATTCTGATAATGTATATCGTTTTACTTCTCGTGAAATCTTTAAGTTTGATTATGTATGAATAAGCCATGCTGTTTAAATGTAAGTTATCATTTAACATTTTTCATTTTTATTTTATTTATAACTTTGCTTAGTGTTATCTAGCGTAAATTTAATATAAATATAAATACATTTACTAAACTTAGTTTAGCTTTGTTAAGTTATTTTCCACAAACAGTAAATACGAATAGTGGCATGAGCAGGGAGAGTATGTAAAAATGACATTTTAAAACAATGTCAACAATGCAAAACAATATTTATGCTAACATTTATTTCAAGGAAAACCAAAAATAAAAAATATGATATGCCATTGATATACATACATATTAATATTTTCAGCATAATTCACGCACAAGAAAACCTTCGGCAAATTTATGCCATCAGTTTGAGCCAGGCAAGATTGCAAACTTAGGATCAATGGCTTAAAGCTTGTTAATGTGACGATAGAGAAGTTCATGTTCAAATTGAATATAGTCATTTATGGAAAGTGAACGACAAAACTGTTATATATCATCAAACTTACTGAATAACCTCGGTGTTTCCTGTTGATGTTATAGAAGTTTTTGACATTTCATTTTCATTAAATGTACCACATATTTCACTCATTTCTTTACCATTCTGTACTCTTAATACTGCATTTTTACATCCCTCTCCTGTAAGATAATAAGAAAATACAGTTTGCATTATCTCAATGTTTCAATATTTATATAATATTTTTGGTGTTATTTTCCTTTTCAAATATCGGGTTAAATACCCTTAACTTAGAGCTGATCGCATGTGTTCAATCCCCATTTCGGACAGGCTGTTGTAACTCAACAAACAAACTGACCACTCATTGTTATGGTTGGTCATTAAGCTTAAAGTTACCTACACAAACTAAAATAAAATATAAAAAAACTAAATGTATTGTTAAAAGCTCACTCACTGATAAAATTGTAAATTTTATTGATTAATTGGAATAAGTTATAAAAACATACCTTTCTTCAATATCAATATTTGAATCGAAATTGTAGATTCTTTATCATAAACAGTAATACCTTTTACATGACCACATTTCCAAAAATGTTACAAAATCGAAAAAAGTTTCTTTAGTTGTATTTTTTACTTTAAACATTTATGCATTCAATCATTAAATACCTTTGTCATATTTATTTTGCTTATCTATGTTATCATCTATAATTATTATAATTCCATAACTTGAAAAAAGAAAGTCAACAAAAAGCTACATAACGTACCACCATCTCGTCCCATCTCTCCTTCTATTTTGAAAGTCTCTAGTTGGATCAATATTCTATTTTGAGGTTTACTTGCAGTTATCTTCCATTCACAGTAAGTTCTACTTTCATACTTCAAAGGAAACCGCGGACTTGTTATTGTACCACCTTTTCCTCCTGTTACTATTTCTTGAGGACAACCTATAATAAAGGTATCAATCCGCATTTTGATTACATTGATGCTTAGATCCCTGACCTGTCTTATTCTAATCATCAGATAAGTGGATAATAAGAATTTCACCACAACATATTTGTTAACAAAAGAGCAGTAAATCTTATTTTTATTCAAATAAAATGTCAGAGTAGGGATCCATCAATTTCTTTAAAAGAAAAGGGAACTCGTATATTCTTTGATAAAAGGTAAAACTATTTTTGTTCAATTATGTCTTATGCTCATTGAACGCCGCCTTCCCTTGTTGATCTTGTTTATCCTATTTTTTGAAAATATTATTAATTTATCCAATAATAGAAAACAAAACTCATAACAATGCTCAGAACTGTTTAAATAATGGGCGATATCGGTTAAATAGCATGCATTGTACGTACATAGTACGAAAGAAAGACAAACATGACTTACCTTTTTGTAATTCGGCTTTCGGTACAAACTCATACCTAGCTTTGAATCCCTGAAAGCTGCTATTTTTCATGGCTTTAAATCTGAACTTGATTTCCCTGTGGGCAATAATTGGTGCTGGAAATTTGGTCCCGCAGTAAATACTGACCGGTACATACCGGTTCTGTGATAAATCGGCCTCGTTTAACTCGTACAATTCGAGAAAGTCGGTGTTATTTAGGCACCTAGTATTAGAAAGAAATGAGTTAATTATTTATTAAAGGGTATAAATCTACATCTTATGAACAATTTATATGGACATCTTCGCCTCTCAATAATCATTTTCTGAGAATATTTCAAAACATGCAATGCTTGAAGAGCAAAAAAGTGCAGACAATAATCAGACTTTCCGTGCCGCGTGCTGGCTGATTGTCGTCTGCACTGGTCACAGAGTTAGAATCTGTTGCCAACAACAGCATGACATAAACTGTATTTTACATTATTTTATAATAAATGAAAAGAATTACGAATATTCAGTTTGTTCGTATTTAATTAATCCGAAATAACATAAAATCTTCTTTTTTTTCCAATAAAATTTCCTACATTTAAAAATATCAGGTTTATTAAAAAAAACCAAACTTAATGTTTACTATTTGAATCCTTAAAATATTTACTTTTTTGACATAACATACTTTCGGCTGTGAGGGTCAATGATTGGTTCAGCAATATGATCCCCGCTTGAGAGTTGAAACATGTCGAATGAAATGAGCAATTTTTCGTTTCTGGACTCTGGTTGAAATATATATACACATTCTATATTTGGTGGATAGTTGTCGGGATGACGTGGTGAATTAAAGGTTCCGGAACGCTCGCGCTTGCTTTCAAACAGGAAGCTGCACTCGCCCTCTCTTCCAATATGCTGTCCGGATATGGCATAATCTAAAAATAGATAATAATTCAAAAAGGTCATCGCAATATCGTTATGCGCATGCGTAAATGTTAAAACCGTTTTTGTCGACTTAGCTGTGATAAAAAACCCATGAGAATTGAGTTTTATAATAACTGAAGTTTGAACAAAAAATATATTATTTTGTTACATGCATTTGTCAAGATTATAAAAGCGCGATTGTATGCTTATATTAAGTTTAAAGGTTATGCAGTCGGCTGAAACAGGATGAACTGTAATAAGTGGTGCACAATTTTATATTAAAATATATATTTCATAACATTTTATATTTTCAAAAAGATTTTCAGGCAAGTTTGACTATAACTAAAACAGTGCCTACATGTTGCTAATATCTACACTTGAACATAACATATATATATCTATTCATGCATTCATTACGACTTTTTATGATAAGTCCATGCCATTCCATTACATCGAAACAGTCAAATGAGTAGCATCAGGGCCATCTACCCTTCACGCAATTTTATTTTATAATGGTTATGCATCGCATCGAAAACGAAAATATTGGGAATCATATTCTTTTGTTGACCAAATACAAATGAAAAAGCTTAAAATTCTTCCATTGCCCTGATTTTATTGGAAACATGCGTATTATCCATCATTTCATTTTTTATTATTTATTTGATTTTGAAAAAATGTCAGTTGCCTTGCTGATCATTATTTCTCCAAATTATCCAGTAAATTGAAATGCAGTTTGTTGTTGGTAGGGATATTCTAAGACAGATAACCTAACTATGTCTCCATACTCTTGTCTAACGCCGTGATCTGTAAAACCATTCCTTGACGTCATGATATCTATCAATATGGTCTTAATTACCCTCTTCTGTGGATAAAATCTTTTTAACCCTCGTCTAGCGCTAACATATTTCTAACATTTGTTTTGCGCTTAGATCGTTCTTAACCTCGCCTAGCAATGAACGCTTAAACAGCTTCGCCTTGCATCCCTTGCCCTGAACCGAGATCTCTTTTATCCTCGCCTGGCAACGAAATTTCTATTACGGTTACCTAACACTAATATCTTTATAACCCTGGTTATGATTTGACATTTCTTTATCCCATACCCAGAACCATTATCTTTATAACCTTTGTCGAGGTCCACGACTTGCAAGTTAAGTTAATATGCAAAAATTCATAACGTTACAGAATATATTAAGTAAGAAAGAGATGTAAGTTTAAAAAAAGAGTCCTACAGATAAGATTGTTCTTGAGCAAAATGTGTGAAAGCATGCAAAAAAAGTACAGAGATGTCACACAGAAATTTTTTTATAGTAATTACAATAAGACTTGTGACTCAATATTAGTCTATAGTTATATAATGAAAGAATAGTATTCAAAGGAGAAAGTAGATATATAAATAGTGGAGACTTTAAGTCCCGAAAAGTTGAATATACGCGGACATTTTGATCTTCAGTGCTAAATTAGGAAAGATCATAAACCTGTCTGGAAATTTCAAAATGTACTCGTAAAAGAGATTGATTTTGAGTGGCTTTCGCAAAATCAACGATTTTGTTGTTATAGTGGTTCATACTCCGATATAATGTATTAAGTAATATAAAATGTATTTGTTTGATTATTGTGTAGGATTAAGTGCTAGTTCTACAATAATTGTCGGCCAGTTACCTTGATCATGTGCAACAGACAAAATGTCGCCTGTTAACATTATGCAACGTATAGGAAACGCAAACTCAAGGGCCATAATTTAATCAAACTAACTAGCCTCGCTTCTGATGCACAGTGACAGGCTATTAACATGTATTACTTAAAATATAAGATTTCTAAAGCATTTGATAATTTAATTCTATACGACTTTCTAATGTAGTTGATTATGTAAATCTATGAAACTTCAAAGAGAGAGAGAAAAAAAGGTAAACTTCGAATTTGCGGGCTTCCTGACGAAGGTTTCTTTTAATTATCGTTTCGATATCGGATGTGACGTCATACTTACAAACAAATGATCGTAAAAATTCGTCACAATTCGGCACTTTTCGTACAATTATTCAAAATCAAGTACATGTCGTCTGTGAAACAGAATATTCTTGAGAACTTAAAAGTTTTCTACAGGAATATCAGTTACGAAAAGTGCCGAAATTGCCGAAGTTAAACGAACTATTGACGAATTTAGTTCCTCATTGTGAGAAATTACTGTGTGACTACGTAAGTTTCTAGACATACAATAAAGATGAAGAAACAGAAAAAAGAGCAAAAGAGCACAACTTCCCTGTATCAATAAAATCGTTGATAGGGGTAGATTCGTCTGAAAGGAAGACCGTAGGATTTAGAAAATATAGCGAATTTGATTTAAATTCAACGAAAAAAAAAAAAAAGTTAGGAATTCAAAATTCATACAAAATAATAAAAGAAAACAGAAAGGTATCTGTGTGCATTGGTAAACTATTGCAATTACATTCTTTATTCCCTTCAACACATTCTTCATAAAAATTGAGATATTAAACGAAGATTTAGATTTTAACTTTTTTGAGTTATTTCAAATTGTCATTTTTTTGAACATTGAATTCCATACAAGTTAGCGATATAATATATAGTAATATAACAACTACTTTATACATCTATTAAAATGTAAGACAAAAATATATCATGCTTAAATTGCATGCAGGCGTCAAGGATTTCTAAGCTGAGTTTTACAAAATAGTTCATACTCAAATGCAATGCACATCCCGGTCAAATATTTCAATTACACATCTGCATAGTTAAATTCTGTACTGCATAGTTAAATATTGTACTGCATAGTTAAGGTATGTACAAAATGCATGACTTTTTGATATTCCTCCTCAAAAATCTATCTATCTTTGATTTCGTCAAATGATTAACTGTATCTATGATTTGACAAGCAACGTCCAAATTTATAGCTATTCGAGTCTTTTAACGGACAATTTTGCTTGCCAAATGTGCCTTTTCATCACCCATTTTTACAGCACACATTTTTAACCAGTCAGATGTATACTGAATTTGAATTTAAATTTTTTTTCAGAATAAATAAAATAAAAAAGTTTAAACTGCAAACGGTTGGATTAAGATTAAAACATACCAGAAATAAATTTGTACTGTAACATGAACCGTGCTGTGGAAGCACCGTGGGTATCGAACGTGAGTATCATTCGTGGATCTTTACTTGTTAGCTCAGGAGGCCATAGATGCCCACAAAACTTTTCGTCTATGACACTGGGTTTTCTGTGGCCTTCCTTCGTGACGCCGAGAAAGCCCTCTTTGCAGCTAAAAGATCAAGAACGTCCGTTAGAAAATAAGAATAATGATGTGTAGTATATCCATCATAAAAAGTTTATCAATCGTGGTAGAAGATAATTATAAGCATTGATAAAAACTTTTGTGTGCAAGTTAAAACATGAACTCTTTATCATTGTTATAACTAAACAGAGCAATTATTTCGTAGTTCACGAAAAAAAAAAAAAAAAAAAAAAAAAAACGCATCAGTGTAGTTTATTTTACACAGGCACCATTTCAACATATTTGACCAATATATTTATTGGACATGAAAACATCTATCATTAATTTTAAATGTCCGTCAAATTTACAATCGATATTTACTTCTGTATTGAACCGGATATGGCAAAATCCTTGAATAATACGTTGACTTTTTCCAAGTTACCCTGGTTCATTTCTCCATCTAGATAGAATTTGCACGTCGTGTTTTTAGGAAAATCCCCCTTCAGGTATCCAGGCGATTCAACTGTACCAATTGACCCTCCTGTACTGATGATGCGGACATCACATTCTGTAATGATATGTGTACATTTTATTTAAAAAATGACTTTATTATTATTATTAATTATTGTGAGAATTATTAGAATAATTAACAATACTCCGCACTTAACGTCGTTTACTATACCAAACACCAAAAAACCCGACCCGATAAATAAGCACAGTCTTAAATGAGCCGCGTCATGACAAAACCAACATAATGGGTTTGCGACCAGCATGGATCCAGACCAGCCTGCGCATCCGCGCAGTCTGATCAGGATCCATGCTGTTCGCTTAACAACTCTATTACAAGTAGAGAAACTGATAGCAAACAACATGGATCCTGATCAGACTGCGCGGATGCGCATGCTGGTCTGGATCCATGCTGGTCGCAAACCCATTATGTTGGTTTTGTCATGACGCGGCTTAAATATGCTATTTTTAGGTGTCATGTTTTACTAGTGGAGGAAGCCTCAGGTGTTTCGTGCATTATTTCAGGCACGTACTCATTAAGACAATTTTGTCTCGAATCATACCTTCTACCAATACATTCGCCATATTTTAATCATTTAATTTGAAAGTCACATGTTCAAGATGAAATCTTACGCATAAATTACTTACCAGTTCCTGTAACATGCGTAGCTTCCTTCGTTTGACGTAAATCTGAAAGTTAAGAAGTGGAGTTGAAGTTTTAATGACATTTAGAAAAAATAAACAAACCCACAATATTGTTTATAAGAGCTTATCTTAAACACTGACGCATCATCTTCTGGTATAGAAAAAATAAGTGCAAAAGCACAGATATACAATGTCTTATATTTTATGTATAGTATTGTCACTTTATATTAACTACTATTAACTATAAAGGATTGAAAAACGTAAGAATCGGCAAATATCGACTAATTTCGGGTTCTCTCGTAATAACACGAAGCGAGTCATGTCTTTCTTTGTCAGTTTTCGGTAAACATAATTGAGCCGCGTCACGACAAATCCAACATAGTAGGTTTGCGACCAGCATTGATCCAGACCAGCCTGCGCATTTGCGCAGTCTGATCGGGATCCATGCTGTTCGCTATCAGTTTCTCTACTTGTTATAGGGTCTGTTTAAGCGAACAGCATGGATCACGATCAGACTGCGCGGATGCGCAGGCTGGTCTGGATCCATGCTGGTCGCAAACCCATTATGTTGGTTTTGTCGTGGCATGGCTCATATATTTCACAAGAAATACTATCATCAATTTGACGACATTATAAAAAAAGGAGACACGCATGAATGTTCGTAAGTGTCTACAATTCTACTGTAACAAAAAGCGGATTATTTGCCAACTTTTCATTAAAAACTGAGATATGCTTCAATGTTCTTCGACCCTTTTCATGATTTCATACTTAACTTTTAAAGCTGTCTCTGATGTATTATGTGTTATCATGATGATGTTGCAAACGAAAAATATTATTGACAATAAATTTGACTGAAAGTGGTTGATCTGATTTGCTGCGTGTTTTTATCACAATTTAATTAAATTTTGTAATAATATCATCAGTAAAAATAAACTGTTACAGCAACTTGCAATTTAAAAGTTTTTCTTTCGACAGTGATTAAGTAATAACGACAATTGAATGTTTGTTATTTTCCTTATAAACAAAGGAATGTTGTTTTCCTTATAAAAAAAGGACAAATTCAGAACATTTGGCATGTTTTAATGACTGTGGCTTGTTTGGGAATAAAATGTTCCTGTTCTTGTTAAAATGGTCGCTTAAAATTACATTAGCAATCAATTACCAACGGAGAAAAATTAGTTCAGTGGTCAATAACAGAGCCAAAATAACACACGAAACAGAAGATCCCATATGTTACTATTTACTATTTATAGAACAGAGAGGTCGTTTAAAATCCGCGATAATGACCTACTCTGAAAGATTTTCCTAAATTAACAAATCTTGTATATGTCCATCACAGGGAATAGTAACATGCGGCAAATATTCGTTTACTTGGCACCGTGTCCTTATTTGTATTGCAAATGCTCTGTCGTGACTTATTGGAATGACTCCGTCCAATAGTCTGACAGCAAATTAGATCTAGTTCCAATGTCAGAATTTCTTACAACAAATGATGAGTAAATGTCCGTTTTCTAATTAATACAGCCAAAGCAGTAATTTCCAATTCAGTGACCGGTTCATTTGATTATCTCAAATGCGTTTAATTATTCATCAATCAATAATGGCAAACACGATTTGTTCGGCCTTTTTTCGACTCATTTGGAACGTATTTATATTAGAAAACGGAAAGTATTTGCAGCTAAATTTGCCCCCTGAAGGTATAATATTTGACCTATATAAAACAACCATTAACTTCCTAACGTAGTACTTCTGTGCTGATATTATTTGAATTTTCTTGTCATCATACTGATTTATTTTGGTAACTTATATATAAATATCTATTCATTTTGTCAATATGAATAGTCAATGTTGATTACCAAAGCCATATCAATTATAAGCTAGATAATTTTCACACTAATTCAGACATTTTTATACTGCCACTGACCCATTATATTTATGAAACATATATATAACTAATAATTTACTTCAGAGCCAAGCTACTTTGAATAATATTTAAATTTTCTTTCTCTTAGTGACATTTTAATACAAGCAGAATTAAACATACTGACAAAATAAAATACAATTTATAGGAGAAGATATTAATTAAACGGCAGCGGTGTAGAAATTTGTAGGAGTGTATATCATATTTTAATGGAAAATGATCTCCTACAATGTTTCATAAAGGTAATAGCATCGTACATAATTTGTTTCCGACTACTTAAGATAAATCTGGAACTAACTTGCTTATTTAACGTTGTATAAGTAAGTTGCTTTCCTTCATAAAACATACAATAAAAATGGTTATATTCTTCCTAACATTCTAGTTATCAACAGGAAGATTAAAATACACAAGAAATAACTCAATCCTGGCCTTAACCCGAACTCGCGTCATAGCGCATACAAGCGAAGGTAAAAACTCCCTAGCCACCTGAGCCAAAGAATCAATTCTAAAACGCAGGGTCAGATGTTGAACTTATGAGTTATGAAAATAGATATGATATCAAGCGTAACAATATAGATAGGGAAATATATATAAATTTAAATGAGCTTACAAGTTTCTTCATATTCCATTTTTTATTGATAAAAAAGAACCTAAAAAGCAACTTTTGTCGACCTTTGACATTTATGATTTATACTAGTTCAAAACTCACGTGACTTACCAAAACGTATGAAATTGGTGCTGAATTCAAATGATATGTTAAACCCACTTCTGTCAAACTTATAATCAGCTATATCATCCAGTGAATTTTCATCAAAACTAACACGTCCACTTCTAGTCACAAATTCAACAAATAAAAATTCCCTTGACGAAAACACTGTAACATTTTCATATCTTCCACAAAACACGCCAATGTCTTCAGCATATGTCTTTTCTCTCCCGTCCTTTATTCTCACATAATCAAAAGGACAGCTGAAAAATGACGATCAAAATTAATTTATGGAGCGGTGCCTAATGTTAACGGATGTCTGACTCTCAACAGAGATCATGGTTCAAAGCCTATCGGTCAACGACATGTTTTCATTCAATAACACATATGGTTGGTTCAGAACAGACTCGAAAGTTGCAATTAATATAAGTTGCAAGAACTTGTTTCGCAATCGAGCTTAAATAAATATGTCTGTATGTATACAAAACTAAAAGAAACGAAAAATTTGATAGTGATTATAAAGTATTATCAACCTTTCAAAAAAAACAACCTTTTTTAATTAAATGCAACTTTAACAAATGCATTTTGCTAATTCAAATTATACAAAATTAAAGTTTGAAATAAAGTAAACCGTTAAGTTATCAAATTGATATAAATGTAATTGGATAAGGTGTTTGGTAATAAGTCTAAATGAAAACCATTTCATTATAAAGTATATAATTTATTGCAAACTGATTTTAAATCATCATCATTATCATCATCATCATCATCGCCCTAATCGTCACCATAAAAGTCATTATCGGAAACAACAACGAGCACCATAACAACAATAACAACAACACCATCATCATCATCGCTACAAATATTTAAAACAAACTTACTAATCATCTCCGTGGAATAAAGAGAAGTCGTTGAATGTCAGTTTTATTCTTTCTCCAGGTATTCCTTGGAATTCATATGTACAATGCAGATTATTGGGGTATGTTCCAGGATAAGTCGGGGAGACGATGTAGCCCTGCCGCCTTTCTTTACTGTTGATAAGGAAGTTACAACCTCCCGGTGTCACTTGTTGCCCTACATTATAAATTGCTGCAAATAATATTACAATTTGTAATTTTCTGTTCCTGTATATAATAACTAATATACTTATTCATTTATAATTATTTTCATGATAAATGCTTTTAAAGTAAACGTTGAAAGAAATGTCGCAAATAATTAGATATACGAGGGTCAATCTAATCGAATACGCATCAAATCCGATAAATCTTATACATTGTATAATCCTTTCGATATACATGTAGTTTTGACATTAAACTACTTTGAAAGGTTTTACACACACGAAGCAATGAAAACAACTACTGCTTGCATTTAAATTACTTAACGATGTATTTATTTCGTTTATATAATGATTTAAAAAATCCAAACAAATATACAATGGGAAAACCTCTCACCAGCGTCAATGAATTCATAGTGACCCTGAAATCCTTCGTAAGTTTTCGAGTCATCAGAGAAGAATATGAGAACGATGACGTTATTAGTTGAAATGACTTGCTGAGGAAGATCTTCTTGCATGTCGTCCCCACAAAACCTCCCCAATAACTCGGCGTCCAGCAAGGCGTCGTTTGGGCTGGTCAGTTGAATATAAAGGTCTATATAGTCGTGTCGACAACTGTAAATATCAAACAAGTATCCCTTTATTTCCATGATATTTTTGATAGAAACATCAATCACTAAAACAAGCTCAACGTTTGTTCTCTAAACAGTATGATTCTTGGCAAGTAAATAAGGCTTTCAAGCATTTAGATCTCTCTTTTTCATTAATCTAGTTTAAGAAACATCTAAATTTATATTCAAATACGCAGTACACCGAGGTCTTTGTATGTTATTTAATTTAATTTTACGTTATCATTCATTTTTATATATCGTAGATACCATTTGCATTATTTTATCATAATTATGATATCAACCTTTTCGTAAAAGAAATGTCATATTTTTTTATCGAAAAATAAATGTGAGTTTATCTAAATAGATTAGGATTAATATTCTAACTATCATTATCTTATTTTCCCTCCATAGCTGAAGAGTATTTACATAATATTAATTTAATATATAATTTCAGTGCATGTTATACACCTTGAAACTGTTGTTTTTATTTTGTCATTAAAATTGCGTGCATTTTAACCGAAACACAAATAAAATAGAGAAAATAGGAATCCTAAAGAAAGTCCAAAACAATGTTGCATGCTCTGTTTGATTGAGCCTGTTTATGAACCGTACTGTCAAGTCAAAACTACCGTCTACGCTCCCTATCACCTGCTTAAGCAGAATTCAACATTTAGATATAAAAATGGTGATTTTTTTAAATATAGAAACACACCCGAAGAGGTATTTATGACGACGGTCGTCATGGAACCTTCAATGTGACACTTTCGTGCCATTCCATGAAAGCGGTATATGTTCCCCAAGTAATAGAAAACGTGTAGAAAAAGCAATGGGACTTACTCAGGTGACATTCCTTGCAGGTTAAATTTGCTGAATCTGAGTTTGACTCTCTCGGTTGTGAGGCCAACAAACTTGTAGACACAGCGTTTGTTATTTGGGTAAGGGTTAGGCCAGCCCGGGGAGGCAAATCTATCTCTTTTGTTATCCCGACTGCTGAACGTGACGTCACAGTCTGAAACGAAAAGATATTTAGTCAATATTACGTGCGGTCTGGTTAAGTAAGAAATTTTACTATGATATATTTTGTACAGAAAAACTCACAAATGCAAGGCTCAACAAAAAGTTGTAAAGATATTTTGTTTTTATAAAAATATTAGCTTTTAAAACCTCTCATAAACTGGCTTTATTACCGTTATGTAAAAGAACTCTTTTTTGTTATAAAATATTTGCTGTTCAGAATATCTAAGAGTCGCTTATTAGTTAGAAACGTTTCGTTGATTTAACCAATTACTGCTTATAAATCAATTTATCTTGTCTATGAAAACGGTTTATGCTGCTTTTATAATGTTAATAAGGAATTAGTGTAATTATATAAAAATGATGATTACACCATATAGTTTAATTAATGAAACATAAAAATTATGAGTTTATCTAATCCGACATCCATTCCAAAGATATCAAAGTTATTTTAGTAAGACGCTTGTAATTACGTAATAGCGCTGATAAAACGAATAAAAGTTGAAACATAATCCTGCCTGGATTTATGTGTAATTTAGAACATTGTAAGAATTACAGCTTACATTTGATTTATTAAGATAAATATTTTAGTAATGCTGATGTAATGGTATTATACATCATCTCTAACCTGTAATAGTAATAAAGCATGTTGTGAAATATTCCGGGACTTATTAATATTCTAAAATATAGATATCTGTTATCGTCAATTAGAAATTTAAGGGTGTATCATATCAAAATTTATAAAAACCAATCATCTGCTTCCGCCAATTGTAACGGGGTTTCAAAATGGTAAAACAAATCATCTTCTACCGTCAATTGAAAATTGAAGGGAGTTTCATCAAAATGGTAAAACCAATCAAGCAATAGTAATAAATCTTGACGGATGAGGAGGTTGACCTAGATTAAAACATACTATTAGCATAGACAAAATACTTACAATCGATTGTATTAAAATGGTCAACAAAGTTGTTATTCAATTTGTCCATTATGGGTTAATAAAATTGTAGAAAAGCAATATTTTTGCTGTTTGGTTACACATTACAGTCTTAGTCTTCGACATGAGACATGTTCGAATCGCGATATTTTAGCCTAAAAAAAACTTGCCAATGCATTTAATATTTGTTTTGTAAATTTATGTAGCAATGCGTAAGAAAGGATACATTAAATGGCAGAGTATGTGTTTGTGAAAACATCCCAAAAAATTCAAATGTATTTGATATCAAGGTAATAAGTCATTTATACATACTGAACGAGTGATAAAACGATAGACTTATCTCAAACCTTTCGAGAACATGCAACTGTGTTCTGGTTGCATGGAGATACATTCTGTAGATTACCTTTAAGACATTTGCATGATGCCATTATATGTTATCGCGATAATAGAGAAAGTTTTAGGGTGTGTTAGTTGTTTTTTCAATTATTACAAAGAATTCGAACAGTTCAACATGAATCATAAGTCAATCATCCGCTGCTTACAGTATGCACTGTTAGATAAATTTAACGATAGCTATTGATAAGAGAAACTTCTCTTTGCAAGATCTTGCTTTCCGTACGAACAAAGCAATCAGAAAAAAGCAAGAAAATAAATAGTTAAGGCACCATGTACATGCAGATTATACCATATCATTATGTTATGATTTCGATGTTTTTGGAAAAGGTCCATCGAAACTTTCAATCCTAGAGATATTTTGCCATGTACCACCTGAAAGTAATGACACGTAACGCATGTCTGCTACCTCGATTGACTCCAAGATGGATATTCAAAATTGATAACTGTTTTACCAACGATGAAGTTAGATAAAATATCTGATAAAACGGAGTGTACAGAAGTCGAGCCACTTAATTTCGCAGTAATCTTCGGTAGTGGGTTATAATTTTGTTTTGCTAAATAATTAAAGGTTAAAGCTGAAAGTGACAAATTGCACATTTGTTGTTATATTTAACCGTTTTTGCTGCGATAATTATCGATTGAAGATAGAATATATTCTTGCAATTTTTTTTATCTAATGAATGGAGCATCCACGAGACTGTGATAAAGATGCAACCACAAAATACAGGTAAAAGCAGCCCAAACGGATAAACCCAAAGGAAACACTCTTGAACCGAATGTGATTAGTCTTTGTCACCAGTATAGAGCCAGGCCAGCCAGCACATCCGCGTAACCTTACATTATTCTATAATGTGTGTAGATCAATACTTGTATCCTAACATTTTAATTCCTTTTTTTTCAAATTGTCTGTTTGAAATTCAAAACAAGGCAACATGTACACTTATTCAGCAGGTTGTTTGAGAAGATTTGAAATTACACTCAAGCATCTTCAATATTGGAACCTTCTAGAAATTGCCTAGCTTAAAATTCATACTACATTTTAGATTGCTTAAGTTGTCAAAAACAAAAGATTAAGTAAATAATCTTAAGCTTCCACTAACACTCCTTGTATTATCTCCTAAAAAAAACATATTATGTAAATAAACGCTTTTAAACGTAAATGCCCATCTAGGTATGTTTTCTATAAAATACCCGTAGATAATTTTTACAGGTTACCCCAAGTGATTTTTACAGTTTTTCTAAAAAAAATACATGCAGAGCATTTAGAAGATTGTGTACTATGTTAAATGTTTGATAATTCTTCGTAAGAAGACTGGAATTTAAATCATTCAGAGAATTCTGATTTTTTTGTTATTTGTACGTACGTGCCTGTGTGCATTGACATATATCGAAATTCGTTATTAGTATTTTTCTTACATAGAAATATCACTTATTTACCTTGCTATAACTTGAACGTTTTTAAAAAGAAAACGAATATATAGATATACTAGAAAGTTTATTACAAAAACAAATTTGATTGAACAAATCAGGCACACTGCTCTCGACTTCTCCGTTTAAATATATCAAAAAAATAACTTTAAAAGCGATATGGAATCTGAATTATCAATGCCAAAGACGTCAAAGAAAAAAAGAGACCCAAGTCAACATATATTTCTTTCCTCTTTCTTTCAATATATAAAAAAAACTACTTATTTTTTAACTGATGCAGAAGATAGAAGTAATGACATAACGTCGGCTAGTTTTAGACTAATTTGACGTTGTCTTTATTAAATAATATACGTATCACTTTATTCAATCACACAAGCTTTGGAATGTTTCTTTATAATATACGTTTTATGTGACAGCCGAGCTATGTTCTGTCTCAAGACGATAATTTTGCTGATAATTGGTCTGTAACTTGGATTTATAGACAGAACAAAGAAAATCTTTGATTTATATAAAGGACAGAGAAAATGTAATTACAACAGGACTGATGTATAGTTATCGTCTCTGGAGGTAAAAATATATTTTAATATTCAACCGATCGAATGATGTAAAAAAAAAACAACTAAAATTTCTATCCAAGCAAATTCGTGTTGCAATAGTAGATGGTTAATTAAAATAAGCCGTCTGCAGGCTTCAAAGCAAACGTCTGTAAATGAATGAATTCTTATGTCAGAATCTAGATTTAAACCAACAAAGAAGAGTTCAAATGATGTGTTGTTTAAAATCTTCAAAATCTGTTCATTAACTTGGTCGTTAACCATTTCATTACATTCAAACTTGCCCTGATGGCGGGACCTTATTCTACCAATGCAACAAATGCAGATCAAGATCAACCAGCACATCTGTAACTCATGATTTTCAGTATTTGCATTTTAATTCAGTAGTTATTTCAATATTTCACTAAATAAATAAGAATGACAGATGAACAAGACCATGTAAGGCATATAACACAATAAGGGTTAAACAACACTAATTATGACAGGAAGTGTGTGCGGTGATCAGTTTGTTTAATAGAGATGATATTGTTATTAACTATCTTATAATAATCTTAATGTTTTGCCTATTTGCATTGATTAAATCTTTTCATGTGACCATTGCAGACTGGGGTAAACCGGCACATTCATTTTCACATGATCTGCACTATTCGCTATTCCTTCAGTGTACCTACCTTCAAAATTAACTCTTGAAATAGTTCACGGTTTTGTTAAGATTTAAAGGTGAGATATAAAGCGTGTTTTAAGTTTATTTTGACTAATAGAAAGATTGTTGATGTATCCCAGACCAAACATAGTAAATGTTCAATTTATTTTCAAGCTTTTAAATAAAAATTATTGATCTCTTTCTGAAGCAAACTTACATAAAATTCAGGAAAACGAAATGCTAAATTAGACATTATTAATGAGTTAACTATGCACTGAAGCTTGTTATTTTGATGTTGCATCTCAGCATGAGATGTTGAACGAAAAGTAAATTGATATACCAATATATACAACTGTAAAGACTTTATTCATGTAAACAAGTCTGAACAGAGTCAGAAGAAGAAAAAACCGCCGTCATAATTCTTGAGCAAAATAAGTGTTATAAAATATCCATTATATATGCCAATTGCAACTTTTTAAACCATTGTTATCATGAAGATAAGCATCATACTCAATTTTCGTATTTACTTCTAGAAAACATGTTGTTTTAACAAAACATAATGTAAAATACTGATTGGAATATTCTATAATAGTTAAAATGTGTTAGTACTGCGTTGATATTGCTTGGATTGTTAATGTTTAGGGTACATATATATTACATCGCTCAACAACCACAACAAAAACATCTCTGAAAACAATATAATTCAATTTGCCGAATTACATTATGAAAAAAACAAAGCGCAGCAGAAACAAACACACAAGAACCGCAATTAATCACAATTAAGAGTTAACGAAACGGGCGCAATTTTCTCGACCATTCAATTTAAATTCAATTAACAGCTCTACAAGAAATGAGGGATCTGCTAATTAAATCCAATTAACATTTTAGGAACACCTTGTTCGGTAAAAATAAATTGGGTTGGTGGATATTTACAATTTGATGAATATGTTTTTTGAGAACTCCTCAGCTTTTCAACATGTATTGTTGATTTATTTATGTATTAATATGCGTAGACAGAACATTTTAGTAAAACTTAAAGT